ATGAGCATGTGAGTATTGTTTTAAGATAGACTTAAAAAGATAAAGCATTTAAGATAAAACTGATTGCAAAAAAGGCACAATGAGTCCATTAAAAGTGTTTGAACAGGGATGGATCAGTCTTTATTATAAACATATGCATAGGATGTTTTTTTTTAGTTAATTTGGAAAGAGCTGAAAAGACTTTTGCAAGTGTCGAAAGAACACTGTCCAGATATCTACTCATCTCTACTATTGAAGGTTCTTATAGGATTTTGTTCGGGGGAAAAAATAAGTTAACCAGTGAAATACGCAAACCCAAATCCTGTTCGGAAACTATTCTTAATGAGAATAGATTTCCAGATAATCCATCATCATTGTCATCCTGAAAATTTCCGGTAATGAAAATAAAAACAGTCATCTGCATTTAAAATCAAAACAACTCCCAATGAATGTGTTTTTCTTGTGACGTCCAAACACTTCAATGTCTGGAATTAGACCAGCTTCCTCTTGGCCCCTCGCACTAATGGTTAGCCACCTGCCGTATGATCCGCGTCATCAGGCCGCCAGCTCACATCTGCAGGCCACGGAGGTAGTGATCTACTAAAGAAGGGAGAGACAGTCTCTTGGATCATTTGTTTATCATCTAGTATGGGTGTAGTCCATATGCATGTTCTGTGTGAGTCACATCAAAGTCAGTAAGACAGCCTTTCACTGAGCTCCACCACACTAACACAGCATGATTTACAGACATGTTGCTGGGTCTCAACTGTGGGGAACCCCATATTCTGCACAGAACATAAACACCCACATTTCTGAACAACCCTGAATCAAAGGCAGAGTCAGGGTGGGCTGACTGATGTGTTGTACTGATGCGTGAATGCGGGTGGTCAACCAGGAGGGTGAAACCAGTCCTGGACCATGTGATCCATTAATAAGAACCAGTCTCACTGTGCCACAGTGAAACTGGTTCTGCACTGTCTTCGGTTACATGAAAGGATCAACCCACAATCACTTTAACCCCAATCCAATAATTATAATTATTGGAAATTGAGACTTCACATAGCTTGTAAGATGTTGTGTCTACAGACTACTGCTTTCATGAAAGTCACATTATTTGGTTTATACATGGTGTCACAGCCATTTAACTCAGGCTTGATTGCATTTTATACGATGTGAACTTAATATGCAGATACCAAGGAACACTAAAGAACTTAACCAGTACCTGTGCTTTGAACACTTGTTGGAAATGCTATATATAAACCTTTATTGCGTTGTCTTGTCCAGTGGCTAGATTAATGTCAGTGAAAGTCTTTCTGTTGAAAAGAACAAAGAAAAGAAAAAACGACTATGGTCACAAGTAAAAAGACATTTCAAATTGGCTGAAAAGTGTTGTTTCACCAGCTATTTGAAGATGATGATTGAATGTTTGCATTTAGACCATATTCCATTGGGATTTGCATTAGTGCAATCTTTCATCATCTACAATGTACAAATAATAGGCTAATTTTGGAGCATCAGAATAATAATCATGAATGAAATACAAAGTTTGGGGAGAGGGTCACTAAAAATCAGTATAAACCCACTGATCATCATAATTACCCATATTTTTTTTGTGATTTATCACAAAAGAGCTAACATGAACTATAACATCAATAACCAGTTACTAAAGACTTCACAGACATGTTACTATAGCAACAAATAGGTCCTAACCAGTCTGGTGGCTCCTTCAGTAGAGTTCATCAAAAGAGTCAATTTGTTTGTGTTTAACTGATGGATGTTTGTCCAATCTTCACTTGGCTTTTAGCTCTTTTTGTTCTCCACAAACTCTCTCAATATCTGGCTCCACCATATTTATGGTATTTTTTTATTTACATAAAATATATTGACTAGAGCAGCTTGAACTAATATAAAGGGGGAGTAAAGGCAAATCAGTTGTATTATTTATGCAATAAACTACACTCTCTCTAGTCTAACTTAGACTTTGACCAGGTTTTTACTTTATTTATGCTAAACATTCAGTTATGTAAGCCAAAGATTGAGACTGTGGCGCCTGGCAGATGACCTGGCCTCACATGACTGTCTCTGTGAGCTTTAACATTACTATTATTCCACTGGAGAAGATCGTTTCCAGTTATGATTCACCTGCAAGTGATGCCAGAGTTATCAAGTCTGGCGTCAAGGGAGTCTACCTGCCACAATATGTCTTTAATCTTCCCTCAAAACAGACTGCACATCAGCAGTGCTTTGCTTTCTCCATTGTTAGGTGAACTGATATTGATACATTCTGAGATATTATTTCACAGATGGTTTGGATTTTTCAACATCTGAGACTATGCATCGGTTGTGTCGTCAGAGCATTAACGCTGCAAAATAGTGGTCAAAATGTGATTACTGTGTGGAGGCTGAGGTGATGATAGCATGTCAGAATACAAGATAATCCCACGGTAAACTCTTTCCAACTGTGCGAGCCAAGAAAACAATCACAGATCTTGGCCCAGGTGCTCTTCTCTGTATTTCAGCGAATCCAAGCTGTGAAGAAACAGAGCCTGTTTCCTCTTTCTTTTTTCATTTTTGACACTAATTGGTGACATCCTCAAAGCTCTTTGTTGATCTGCAGAGTTGAAAAAAGTGACAGAGCACCAGGGGCGTAGTCGCACCATCATCCGTGTCGCCACATGCATAACGTTTATCCAAGGCACCAGAAGCTTCCCTGTCCAAAACACCTTCCCTCCATCGGAATACTGCATCATCTGTTACTCAGGCCTGTCACATCTCATCTGCTGTGGTTCCTCTGGACATCTCCACACTTATCAGCACCAGAGCATCAACATGCTGCTTTTCTGTCCTCCAGAGTTTCAGCAACATGTCATTTTAAGTGTCTCCTTTTTCCTGCTTGCATTTGTTAAAGTGATGAATGTGTTTGAATTACCTTGGATACTCCAAACCAGCCCCATCCCTCTTTGCTCTGGTCCTCTGGTTCACTTTGAGCCACTTTCACCCTCTCTTCGGGGACTTTTTCAGCTGTTTAATCAGCAGCATTGAAGTCAGACAAAATCCAGCTGGGCATCATCCGGCATTTACGGAATGAATAAAAATGGAATCAAGTTTTTGCTGTGAGGCATTGTTTTTGTTTTTCTTGGTTATTTGAACATAATCTTTCATTTATCCCACAAAACACGTTAATGAAATCTTCACCATGGCAGTTGAAGTTTATTTTCTGCATTCTCACTCTTTTCTCTTAAATTTTATGCCCAGCAGGTATTTTTCCCTCTGAAAATTGATGATTAAAAGTGTTGTGTGTTCTGTGAAAAGCAACTGTCTGATGGTAGTCTTTTAAGGTAAATCATTGTGCACTCGGGTGACAAAGGTGGCTAAAATAGTATCACCTCTAACCATCTACAGTTACATCAAACAAGTCCAATACTTCCTCCCACTCCCCAGTTCAGTTGGTTGTCCATTGTCTTCAACAAAAGAACTTGACACTTTGAATTGGAGCCTGTGATGGATCGCTTTTGAGGTCAGAAGCCTTTACCGGTATACTGGTTTCATCCGAGCCGAGGTTCCAGGCTTGAATAGATAGTCCCAACTTGTATGAAGACTAAAGCATTATTAGGCGTAGAGTCATAGAGCAATTGTGGGAAAAAGGGTTTTGGTGACTGGCTGCTTATTTTTTGACATTGATAAGATGGCTTTTGTGCTTGATTTACATGCACTGTGGTTTCTATGTGTGCATCATAGTTTCCATTGCATGGGGTTAATGCAGAGGAGAGGATGATTTGATGGATGATTCTGCTTATAATAGCAGCAAAACTTGAAATAGCACTGTGGAGTTTTTATTTTAGAGGGATTGATTAAAAAATGCCTGGCCACCCCAGTTTTGTGTTAAATGCTGAAATTAATTTAATGATATGGCCACATTTTAGTCTAACTGATAGACGTAACTACAATGAAAAAATAAATGTATTTGGAAAAATTTGTGATTATTTGGAAATAAAACTATTTATTGATTTCTAATGCCACCTTAGCTGTTTCTGTTCAATGATTATCTAACGTGCCACAATAATGTAATGACTTTTGAGTTAAAATACCTTAATTTGGGGACTTTTCCAGGCAAATATTGATATTTGTGATTCTTTGCAATTAAATCAGCATATATTTCTGTCACCATTTAGTCTCCATGCCATCCTCTTTCCACTCCATGATGCTTCTCTAGCTCTGCCCCTGAGTAAAAATAATACATAAAAAGTTGCAGTTTAAAAACTGATATCACAAAAATGTATTATCTCCAGACAGAATTAATGTCTTGTACTCAATGCTTTATTCTTCCAAAATCATAGGCTTTACCTGCCTGAAACTGAAAGAGTTCATTGTACTTCCACATGTATTATCTAACCAACATGAATATAACTTATCCTGATACAAGGCTCTAAGAATCAAACAAAGGAGCCTCTATAATACTTATATCACTAACTTTATCACCATTGGCATTCCTTGCATCATGAGGGATGCCTTTCCCACAGTGGAAAAACAATGGTTATCAGATTTTTAAATGTTATTCTGGAATGCTGGTTAAATGGACCCTGAACCGCCTCCTGCTTATTTACATTTCATATTATTCAGGACATAATTTCAGTGAAAGACCTAAATGTACATAATGAGGGATTTGGCTTTTGAGATGGCCATTTGTACACATACAGGTAACAATTTCCTAGAAACACCAATTCATTCATGTGCTTATGGAAAATGTTTCACGTTACCTACAAATCCTTTTTAAAGCAGCCTGACTCTGACTTTTTTTTTTCCATTTCCTACCGCCTCGCAGTAAAAAGGGTCAAGCGACCAGTTAAAATACACAGTGTATAATTTTATAGCTTTCTCCCAACGGGGCTCCTGGTGCCGGTGTCGAGACGACAATGCGCAAGCAGCAGTGCCGCACACAGATCAGTTTCATTCTTTGTCAGTGGTGAATAGGGGCGGAGGAAGCAAACTCATTAGAATCCTATAAAAAGAAAGTATCCGAGATCATAAAACACCCGGCTGCAGGACTAAGTGCTCACTCACAGCCAGACAGAGACAGAGTGGAAACCTCTTGTCAAGTTTCTTTTTGACCCTCAGAGCATCAGCATTTTAACAGATTCATTTCTTCATTGTTTCTCTTCCACACTGGGCTCTCTGTGTTTTTCAGATAAGTGTGTCGATGGCAGTCATTCTTCTGAATATCTGATTTTCAGGAACAAAAACTTGGCCTCATCACTATTCTATGTGTTGCACTCGGGCAAGCGTGACGTATGGACACTGACAGGGCGCACACTCCTCATTGAGAAACTTCACTTTTGCGCCACAAAGTTAAGGTTATTGAAGTGAATCAGATTTTTTCCCCCCCTTTTTGGTAGGCCTATTTCAGTATTTTTTTTCAAGGATGCTCGTCTTAACTTGGAATAGATGCTGTGCTGTGATGTTTCTCGTCGCTATACTGAAGACGGGGACATCCCAGGTATCAGAGGCGCGCCCAAAGGCGAACTCCATCAAGCCAGCTCTGTCGGAAGAGACACCTACACCCGCTACAAACCGCTCCGTCACAGTCCACAGCGGGATCACCAAGAAATATAACATCCTTGCGCAGGTAATTTAATTTACTGAATTGTCTAAGGATTTATATATTGATATAGCCCTACATTTACGCACAGCATGAAATTGGGCATAAAGAGCGAGTGGAATAATTTATTATTAGTTGTGATAAAAACTTGACGATCCCCAAAGTCGTGTTAACCTTTTTAATAAGCATGACAATAAATAAGAACAGTTTAAAATTTAAATTAAATTATGAGTGTGCCGTCAATACAGATTAGCGTGCGTAATGGTGCTGTACGTCTCCACGGAGTATCTTGAGGTGTACAAGTAAAATAGCCGAATGCTTTAAAAAAGGCTTACTCACGTGTGAATCGTTATTGGAAATTGCAGGGATTGGACCCCTTATAAACCCTAATTGCCTTTTAGACCTGACGCCACAGTCGAGTGCCGCGCACTTCCACAGTAAATCATTAATGCCAGAAATGTGAGAAAAAGTTAACACTTGGGGTAATTTTCTGTCTGGGTCTTAGTGTCATTAAAGTGGTCCAGACGCTTGCTGGGATTATGAGATTCTTACTGTGGGGCCTCTGAGGGATACTCTTACCAACCACTTAATACCCACTCAAAGAGTTATCAATTCCTGCTGTTTCAACAAAGTGCCATACTTCTGTAGTTTGACTGCAAACTCAGGATCAAAAAAGATTTGGCAGGTTTGATTCTTGCATACATAAAAAAGTTGTGAACATTATGAGCACATTTTTATCAAGTGAGGAATTAGAGCTAAATTTATATCATGGCTGAGGAAGCAAAGTTATCCAAATAATTTCCCATTAAAGGATATTTTAAAGTATTTTCAGTCAGTTCTGAATTGGGTTTGGAGAATTGATATCAGTGTGGGAAAAAAACCCACATCAGACATATCAGTCAAGCAAAAAACTGACAAAGACCAACAGACCCAGAAATGTTGGTGTGCTATAAAAGATCACCACTACTAACTAAGATTTAATCAAACATCTGATTATGAGAGGGATCATGTTGAGTTGAGAGTTATTCTTGACAACCTCTCAGTATCTTTTTGAGCAGCAGATGGCACTGCCACATCTTCATCAGGTCTCCCACAGCAGACAGTCTATATCAGCTCACTGAAGCAGTTAAATACTCTTGTGCTTCCTTTTTAAGCAGTTTTCTGCCTGATGGTCTCATCCTCTAATGCTAGCTTATGTTTACTTATGGTCTGTTCAGCTGTCTGTAATATCACTTGTATTAGTGATAGTGTTAGTTATTGTTGAAGCCCGTAGTGCTGAGAGCAGCGCTCTGACATCCAGTTCAGACAGAAGAAATTATGGAAAAGCCACTTTCTCTCCTCTGTGGAGTGTGGAGATCCAACCTCAAGCAACCCTGCCAGACCTCAATTTGAACGCCTGCTTACATCTTTGCCGTTGCAATAATCGGGAGTGGTTTGGAAGAGTGGACTGAGGGGAAACAATATGTGTGTGCAGAGACCACCATACTATTACAAAAGTAAAATGTCATGGTGTAGGGTGTCCAAATGAAGATGGCTAATAGCAGTTATGGCAGGATGGGGTATATAAATTTATATACATATGTGTGTATGTTCTGGCTGGGGGGTTTTCCAAAGCTGTAAAGTAACAGCCGCAGCTCAGCCTTGGCCAGATATGCGGCTCGACGCTGGCAAGCAAACTGCGCTGACCTTCTGCATCTCATCATACAGCGGTCATTTATGAGCAAGATAAATCAAAGTCCGCTCCCTTCATGAGGCTGTAATGGTAAAGTGTGGCATATATTTAGTTTAGGAGTGATTAAAGGGAACATACAACTGCAATTACTTGACTTTAGATTTATACAATTATGATAAATGCCTTGAAACAGGTTGCATATGACAAAACAGCACCTTACTGAGTCATTTTCTTTCTGAAGTGGTTCACAGTAGGCACCCCAAAATATTTTTATTGTCGTCTGCATTTGTTAAGTGAATTACAGCTGATGAAGGCTTGGGTGTAAGTTTGGAAAATGAGCGTGCATCAACTCAGATTTCTCTTCTGGCATATGCATTATGGGAAACCTTAGTGCCGATATACTACAAGCAGATTTATGGTGAAGTCGTCATGCTGCTGAGTTTGTTACAATTGGTGAGCAACACTTGGCAGATTTTCACACCTCTGGAGAATTCCCAGCCAGTTCGGGATGTGAGCAATTGTGAGCTTGCCACTTATGTGAGGGAGAATGAAAGCCTGAAAATATCTTACTGTTAAAGCAAATTCAGAAAATTACAAGAAATTTCCCCCCAAATTGCCCTCATTGGTTTACTTTCAAATGTAGCTAATTATTGAGGGAGAGAGTCCAGTTACCCCATGGAGACGAGCCGCTGCAGCAGGAAACAAGGGTGTAATTTGGTGTTTTATCCATCAGATTAGAAATGCTGCTCTAAGCCTTTGGTTTTAGGAAAGCATTTGACAGCTTAATGTGCTTTTATTTCCTGTAGCTGCTGACAGTGTTTGGCGATAAGGGTTACATTAATCACACACAAACCAGGGTCAGGTTTTGGCTATCCCTTGGCGTTGAGTCGTGGTGAACTGCTGAGTGTTTGTTTCACCCTTTTCACATCAGCCTGACTGGAGTCAAACCGACAAAACCAAAATGTACGCCTCTTAGACCTTGACAGCCGGTGCTCGTGGGTGGCACTATTGGCTCCTTGGAGGGAAACCAACAGAAATGGATAGCATGGGCAGGCAGTGCTCACCACTGTAACCTCTGATCCCACAAGGGAACCGACAGCGTGGCGGCATTCATGCAATACTTGTCTGTAAAACATCAGCAGCCGGTCAGTCTTAACTAGTTGCTTTATTTAATTCAAGACAGAGATTACTTTAACAAGCGATCTCTGAGGGCTCTGCCTATAAAAGTTGAGCCACGTCCTTTTTCTCTCTCTCTCTCTCCTTTAACCTAAAATGACTGTTTAAGTGATCCTAATGAGCTGAGAAAGAGAGAGAAAAGGCAGGGAGAGGTGTGAGTGCTTGTTAGTGCTCGGCTCAGTTTGTGCTTCAGTCTCCTGTCCTGTGGCCTTTCCAGTCTGTGGGTCACTTGGGCGCTGTGAGGGCCCTGCGCCGGAGCCATTAGGGGCCTCCTCTGGAAACCTCCTTTACTGTAATTGGACCTGTGAATCAGAGAGGAGACCCGTGCACCTCTCATTCCACAGGATTACACCTTTCAGAGTGGCACACCTCTTCGATTACCATCAAGAGCTTTTCCCCTTTACTTTGATAGTCTTTGAAGAGAGCAGTCATCTACACTGACTGCGTGCCTCTCTTCGTGTCCGATGAATAAGATCAACTCAGAATGTATACTTAACTTAAGGAGGGTCTAGTTTTGGAGACTTTGGATTCTAGCACTCAAAGGGACATGCCCATAAAAACATGTGTTTTGAGTGATGAAAGACGCTGAGCTGCGTTTAAAGACATGGTTAGTACGAGTGAGTTGTGTACAGCCGTCCCTATGTTATCTGATAGCGGCTGTCTGTGCTTTCAGGGCATATGAAGTTTGTTTATTCAGTGACATCGTTTATTTGACTCTGTAAGGCCCCCGCCACTCATTAACACCATTCACAGTTTCAGGTTACGTGCCAGATCTCTGAAGGTCAAGTGCAATCACGACATGGAACTCAAAAAGCACGGATGTGTACTTTAAGTTTGTGAAGAAGTCCTTTATTTTATTTTTTAGCTCTATTGTAGATATTTGTGCTTTTGTCTAAGACCAAAACAACGGAGGTACAATGTGTATGAACTGCTCTTATTACTCCGGCAGTGCAGTTTTTCTGTGAAAGGCTTCAAAGAAAACATTAATAATGCTGGGAAAGTGAAACATGAGGTTCAACCCACAATTCCAGTTATTCTCATACTGTCTCTAAATTTTAAATCCCCTGAACTAAACAGAGGAGACATACTTTGTGTTATTTTTATGCATTACAGGGCACTTCCATCGAATTATATCAGTGCTTTGGAATGACTCCAAAGAGATAAATAAGGGACCCAAAGACTACGGGGGAGGGTTCAAAGCCCTGTATATCCTGCAGTAAATCCCTTGTAGATTGTTGCTCCCGCACATTTAAGGTTCCTCTTCAAAGCCAAGGCGCTTTACCAGCACGAGAGCAGCACGAGACAGAGCCGGGGGCTTCCCTTATGGCTTTCTGTCTGTCTCTTCCTTTATCGTCTCACCAGCATACCAAGAGAGGCTGCAGAGTACACAATTTTCAACCCACTTCCTGCGCACGATCCAAGGCTGTGCTTTTATGTGTGAAGGCCATCTAGGGAAAAATAAGGGAGTAGCAGAAAAAAGATGTGAGATGAATCAGATGCATCCAAATGAAGCACGGTCCCTCAGAAGTTGCGAATGAGGCGTTTTAAAACATGACAAGATAAGCCGAGATTATCAGCTGTGATCTGGGGGTCAGCCTTGTATCATTGGGTTTCAAAGGGCTGTCACGGTTTGAGCCGTGATGGAAGAGGTGAGCCTCTCCTGTTCTTCTTCTGCCTCCTCCTATATGCACTATGCACTGTAATCGATCCAAGCCTGCTGGCCAGAAAGACAGATAGGAATCAGAGCAGGTTGTATGAAGTACTACTGCACGTGGCCAAGCCCATTTGTCTTCATATTTAGATAACAGCACATTTTTCACGTCAGGGAAAAAACACCCACTGCACTTTCTTGAACTTCTCCTCAGACCATATTTCCAACATATTTCCCTCCTCAGCTGTGATTATACCAATAGTCCATGGCGTTGCACATTCGATTTTGACACAAAAATAGAAAACCCCCAATGAGGTTGAAAGTTTGTTCTTGACCTTGGAAATAGTAGTTTGCTTTCTAAGTGGAGCAAACTCAGTTGAGGAAGACTGTGAGACAGAGTCTTGCATGGGGCCTGTTTGCAAACCCGCATCTGCCCACTCAGAACCGGACCCGGGCCCTTATTATCTCCAAGTCAAACTGGGACCCAACCCGACCTGTTAATATAAGACCTGTGTACCAACCTGTGACCTGTGCTACACACACAGTGATATTTTTACTTGTGCAATTATAATAATATAAAAAAATAATAATTATGTGTAACATGTAGAAACATTAATTAAAATCATAACTAATCATTTGGCTGAATCAAGCACCAGCTGTTGCTCCTCACTATGAGCTGCTGCGTACACAACGAGCTGGGCACTGATGTCAATTAAGCTCTGTGTCAGTTCGCTCAATCCATCCACGCAGGTTTAAACGATCTGATGTCCCAAACTTTGCAGCGCTTTGGCGGACTGAGAGTTGTGTTATTGGAAACGTTTCTGTTAACTGGTGCAGCACCTCTCCCCCTGCTGCAGCTGTTTGTTTCTTCAGAGAATGTGAGAGCTTGCAACTTTAAACAATAAAATATATTTCTCCTGAAAAAACAACACATTTTCATTCTCACCCGCTTCCTACATTTTTTGTTTTGTTTTGGCAGGTTACCCAACCCGGTACAGGACTCTGCTGTGACATGAAAAAGCTCAGAAAAATCTATTGAGTTTCACTTGTCGAGAGTTAGTCAAGACTATTGATACTGCTTATATGTCAGCGTGTTAACAACAGGGCTTGAGCCAGGTCATGATTAGCTTAACTCAGCATAAAGGTTATTTCCAGTAGGGTAGGTGTCAGGACTGAACTTTCACGTTCAAATGGGTTTCTCTGTTTCAGTGTCATTGTTTGTCAATAAATACATACACTGCGTAGCCCTATATAAAACCACACAGTTTACATTTCTGCTTATTAATAGATTAGACAAAGGAGAAACAATATGTTAATTAGTGAGCTTTAGAGGTGCTGGGCATATTTTTGAAAGGAAAGCCAGGCTAGCTTTTTCCCCTTGCTTCCAATCTTTATGCTAAGCTTGAACTATTGCCTCTTGGTTCTCTGTTAAAGCAACATTATGCAACTATTTTACCTATAACAGCTTCAAAGTAATCACCAGGGTTATTTTCCCAGGTTTTAGAAAATTTCCTGCAGAACCACAGAAGACATTATACAACTAATGAGTAGTATTCCCCATGATGAGTCAACTGGTGTTCATGTGTACAATTGTTGGAATGTCCCCTTTAAAATAAGGCCTTTGAATATCCTGCAAACAGTTCATAACACAGTAGTAATTAAGAAATATTTAGAATCCGTCAAACATCAGGGCTTTGTTACTTTCATCAACACATTAAGCATTTCCATTTTGGGAATCTGTCATAATGATTAATGAGCATTCAGTTTAATATTCCTGCTCATTTTTCTATGCCTGTATCATTGCCTCCATATGTTTCCAGCCTGAGAAAGTCAGTATGGCATCCGTCCAACGAGTCTAATCTTGTTCACTTTATGAAGTAACATCTTCTAATGTGCTGAAATACCGATACTGTTGAGAGTTGATTTTAACATGTGGTGTACATGAAACATGTTTGCCTGTTCTTATGGGCATGGCACCCCCTCTTAGCTGACCTTTGTACCCCAAAGTTAAGGAGTTTGCTATTTATTGTGGCTATAACGATTTCACTCTGATTTAAACCTCTTTCTTGTTCATTCTCATGTTTATTGCTCCATGTTTGTCAGTGGTAAGCCACACTAAATCAGATCTGTCAGTGCAGTGCCAGCTAAATGTGGTTGTGGTGCCGGTAGTGGTGTGCCAGCCAAACATGTTGTTCTAATGTCAGTCTACGCTGGACATAATTTACTTAGTCGGAATCCAAATCCTGCTAATTTTTAAGGATGTGCATATTTGAACAGGTATTGTGTTGTGCACATGTCCGACAACTCAGCCCATCTGTTATAATAACACTACCCTGAAATCAAATGGAATGGCCTAAAATAAAAAAAAGATGTGCAGGAGAAATACAGTGGCCTGACCTTCGTTGTATCTCGCCCAGTGGATGTGGACTTGATGAGTTCAGTGCAAATGTGCGACATTATACCATTTGTCTGATGAGTTTATTTTATTTGCAATACAATTTATATCAAACTCCTTTGCTCCTGGTCCAAGTCTAACGGTGACAGCATTTGCATGTGTAAGGAATTATATCAAGCGGTTCCAGTAAAACTTCCCATTGCTGCACACACTTGTTATGGAAAAAGTAAGCTTGCTTTTAATTGTACTTCTTGCTGCTGTGGACAGTGGATGTTATATTTGTTAAGTTGGTGGTTTCTCTAGCGTGGTCATTTTAGTGCGCTTACGAAAAGGACTTAAAGGCTCTTGTGCTTTGCTGACCAACAAAATATGTCTCAGCCTTTCAATGTTAAAACAAGAAATACTCAAGCTAAAACGATACTGCCAAACGGACTATAAAGTAGTATGATTAGCTACAGTAATCACCCCTCAATTATGTCTGTAGACTCATTAAGCTGCTGGTCACTTTGGGAGAAATTGAGAGAAACTGAAGTGGTTTTTCTTGGTTTGGAAATTCTAATTGCTCCATTGTCTGGGACCTGAAAAAAATGACCACACCAGTGAAAGACATGTTAATCCCCACAACATGTTGTCCACTAAAATTGGGTGCAGCAGTACCACAGCTTGTAGTCAGTTCACCCAAAACAAACAACCAGCATATTTTCCCACTTACCCCCAATGGTACAGCCTTGCAGAGAGTTTTGGCTTAATTTCCCAAGGCTTTAGATCTCTGCATGCAGAGAGAAACATCAGAAATCACATTTGTAAAACTTAACAGCATGTCTCTCTCCAGAAACAATGACCTTTTATTTTATTCAAACTGTAAACAATGAGTAACCTGCTAGGAAATCTTTCATTAAATACAAAGTGACTCTTACAGTACATTCAAAGCTTCCAGTTTCCCCTCAGTATAGTACAGTCTAATGTTTCTCTCTTGTTCGAGTTATATGCATTTTTGTGGCACTGATGCACATAAAGTAGGGTGAAGTTAAGAACTGATGTGGACTAGAAGGTGTGACCTGGTCTCCAAAGACCTCTAACCTGAACATAACATTATTTGCCATTTGCGCAACTGTGGTGGATGGAATGGAATTTGAAGGAATGCAATTACATTGTGTATATATAAGTCTGGGTAGGTGGGGTGGGGTGCTAGGTGGTGACCAACAAAATCCACTATGTTCCTTCACTTTTACAATGGTGCCCTCTGAAACACAGCACTGTGTAAAAAAAAACAAGTGTAAAAATACTGTAGGTCATCGCCACAATCACCACTGTCAAATATATGCCCCATATAATTAAATTAATTCTGGAGGAGATGACACATTGGCTTACCATCCCAAGAAGACCAATTGGCAAATAAAATGGCTCTGTTTCATGACATGAGATGTTATAAACAGTTTGTCAGGATCAGGATCATGCTGAAGGATATAATTAAGGGAACAAGTGATATTGTACCACTGTATACCTTTAGGCGAATATATCAATGTCAGATATAAAAGGCAAAACATTTTCTGTGTTATTCACAAAAATGGTAGTTTAACTTTTTAAACTTTAAAAAGATTATTTTTGGGGGCTTTTATTGCCTTTAGTAGATATGAGGAATTGAAGACAGGCAGGAAAGTAGGGAGTGACAGGGGATAACATGCAGCAAAGGACCACAGGTTGCAATTGAACCCAGGTTGCTGAGGTAAGGACATGGGGTGCACACTCTACTAGCTGAACAACCCAGGTAGGCTTTTGAAGAAAACTTGCTCATGCTTGGTACTGTAAAGCCATGAAAATTTAACAAAACATGGCCGCACCTTGTGACATGCAACTCTGACATAAACTGCACAGGAGAACAATGCAACTGCAGCCACGCTGGCACCAATAAACTGCACAGGAGAACAATGCAACTGCAGCCACGCTGGCACCAACATTGCACTGCAGTGCTTGATTGTTATCATCAAGTCCTGGTTGGAGTCGCTGTAAATGATGTCAGTACAGACCTCAGTCATCAAACTGGTCGAAATGAATCTTTAATTCACCAAGTTGTTGTTGTTGCTGTTTTTCCTCTTGATTGTTGTTCGGCTCAATGTTTGTACTATGTGCGGAACCTCTGTCTTTGAGCAGCAGCTCTCGCTCTTTGGAGGTAGACCATTAAATTAGCTAAATAGAATAGAATGGTCCAATTGCCTAACCCTACAACCTACCACATGCAGTCAACTGGTTTGGAGCTCTGTGCAGCCCATTGAAAAAGGCCACCTCATAAACGCAAAATTATGTCAGGCACCATACATTCCTACAAAGTGTGACCCAAGGATTGCGGTTTTTAGATTTGAGAAGAGCTGTTAAATCATTCTGTTGATTTAAAGTCTAATATGTCACTTAAAGGCACACTATGCAAGATTTTTACCTTAATATAACAGCTTCGAAGTCATTTCGATTGGTAAATGAACTCGTAGTATAGTGAATAATCCCGATAGCAAAGCAGGAGAGGGACGCCGTTGGCAGAACCAGCAATGCAAGTCTGAAAGGTGGCGTCCCGCCAAATCTTGCGAGAATCACAAATTGCTTTACGGAGCGACGTCACATACATCAGCGATATAAGAAGCAGCCTCAATGGAAGACACTAGCAGGCATTCACTCAGACGTTACCTGGTCAGTAGACATCTTCGGAGTCTATCTTTGCCTGTTCGATGTTCGCCGCTTCCATCCTACTGAACATGTACCGGTATACAGGGGGGAGGGGATCAGGCTGTGAGTGCAGAGACGCAGAGCCGTATATAGAGACGACTCTGCTGAGTGGTATTTACGACAGTTAACGTTAAATACAAGTACTCAGCAGCGACTCTAGGGGTAGCTGTTTGACAAAACCGAAAACTGCATTGTATGCCTTTAATTAACCACCTTTATTGGGATAAATGTACAATATAGAAACTTGCAAAAACCCAGTAAATGTTTTCACAGATTGAGTAAATGCATCTTTTTCCTCAGCACGTGTATCCATGCAGCAATGATAAGGAGTGCAGTGTGGGAAGCTACTGCCACAGCCCTCAACAGGCTCCCTCTCGCTGCCTCACCTGCCGCAGGAGGAAGAAGCGCTGCCATCGAGATGCCATGTGCTGTCCTGGGAACCGCTGCAGCAACTGTACGTAACTCACACACAAAAACTATTTCAGTGGATGTCAGTTTCAGTCATATTGTGACTGCAGGGTACGACTGAGAAATCAGATTTCTTGTCTTATGCAGATATTCTGGAAAAAAGTGACTTGTTCCAGGTCACTGAACAAACAGTACCCCAGTATCTAGCCCAGAGACTTAGTGAAGGAGCCAATACATTTAAATAATGTTGAACACATGCTTTCACACAGGATCCTGAACTATAGTTGAACTGTATTAAATTGATGCCCAGAGGTAAGGAATCACATTTTGGAAGGTGTTTCATCAGACTGATCAACAGTATGAATGGCATGAATGTAGGTTTGTGCTGAAATTGTTCTTTAAGTTTTTTTAAATTGAAACTATCAACACTAACTAACAACCATCAGGTTGCATAATCTTTTCTGTAGTTTCTTGACAAAGTTAAGCAGGGTTGGTATTCTTTTCTGTCATGTTGGACCTTCATATTTTTCTCTTCTTTTTCTGCCTGTAGATATTTGTGTACCTATCTCCGAGAGTGTGCTATCACCTCACATCTCAGCTTTAGATGAGCATAACAAACTCGCCAACAAAGACCACAACTGGAGGAAGAGTGGGAAGGCACAGGCTAAGCTTCCTCTTAAAGGTAAGATTCAATTGCATATCTCTGAGGTTATGTTTAAAACATGTTCACTGGAAACCCTGCCATCTGTGAACACTGTCACTGTTGTTTTTTCTCTGATCTTTTCTGCTGTCGTCCTCATTGAATCTGGTCTGGGTGCCTGAATCTTTCTGTTGTTCAGTGTCTGCATGTCCTACAGAGTTCATGGGCGACGCTAGTCCACAAACTATGTTGATAATTACCCCTCTGCTCATATGTCAGTGTCTGTGAGCCTAAAGCACAGCATGGGGAGCCTAGAAGAAACCACAATGCCCCTGGTGTTTCTGCACCTACATAAAGCCATACAAACACTTTCATTGACAGCACACATTGAATGATACACAAGTGAAAACCACAGAATGCAGGTTTGGCACGATTATAGCTAATAACTCTCTGAGCCCCCCACTTAGCATTCATGTTACCTTATTTAAGTTAATGTAAAGGCCTATCCATAAAGCAATACGTTTAATGAGACACTTAAATTACTCAACTCTAAATGCACCCTCAAGGCACCAGGCTGTACTGCTAAAATCAATGTGAAAATAGCAGTAGTACTTGCTATAAATACGTCCATTTACTTGTATTTGTGCTTGACTAACTCCCTCTCCTTAAACATTATTACATTATAATGGCCTCATGCAAGTCGCTGCTTGAGAAAAGAGAATCAGTCGTGTTAAAGCAATGAACAAGCAGTCAGGCTTAGCAGTCCATCATGCTGATGGTTGGAACTTCTTATTGAAATAGCTAATCAGCAAAGTGTGGTTTTGTCAGCGATACAGGACAACTCTGTTTGAATAGTGAAGCAGCTTTTGGCAAGAGGTGACACACATTTAAAAGTCTTTCTGAGAAAAAAAAAACCCTTCTTGACTTAATTGTACTAATTATACATTCATGAGTAATGCTCCTGCCAAACATATCAGACCCAGACCAGATGGGACGATATGGTTAATATACAGAATAAGCTAATTGTTTGCTTGATTTATGTTGAAAGCTCCATGCATTTCTTTTGTCTTTGGCATGGCCACACATAATGCAATCTGAATTGAAACGTGAAGAAAGGGTTGCATAAACTTATCCGTATGGAAAACATAACAGCTTAATGAACAATAATCGTACATTTCCTTTGCCCTATTTAACTGGAGCACTATAAGATGCTCAATGGTTTATAATTTCATGCAGGTCTTTTATGTCTCTGACGAAGCATTTGTTTCTGTTTTTCTAAGTAGACCGAAGCCAACTTCATATTTTGTTTGGTTGATGGTTTGATGTATTGTCTGCTGGTTCACCACTGATCAGTACTGTTTTTTTCTTTTCCTCTGTTAGGGCATGAGGGCGACCCTTGCCTGCGTTCATCCGATTGCTCGGAGGGCTACTGCTGTGCCCGCCATTTCTGGACCAAAATCTGCAAGCCGGTGCTGAGGCAGGGAGAGGTGTGCACCAAACAGAGGAAGAAAGGCTCTCACGGCTTGGAAATCTTCCAACGCTGTGACTGTGCCAAGGGCCTTTCCTGCAAGGTGTGGAAAGACGCCACCTCCTCGTCCAAGTCCAGGCTCCACATGTGCCAGAAGATTTGAAGTGGAGGCAGCTGCTGTCGGCGTAGAGGCCTCTGTCTCCATCTGCCAGGGAAAGTTTTTTAAAGGATGGGTTGTGGCTGTATTGAAAGGAGCAAAAGACAGAGACTAACAAGAGACAGAACAGACTGTGTGGGTTCAAGCTCGCTATTCGGCAAGCGGACAGCAAATGGGATTGCTTTAATGTGTTTGCTGTGAGTGATCCCTCCCTGCACCCACAGACAAACACGCACCCTCACAGACACATGCACACATCCACCTCATGGGTTTGTGAGATCAATGAACTCATGATGTGCTTGCTCACAAATACAACAAACTTTTCACACATTTTCATGACATTCAGGGAGCCACAAAGTTAACCAGTAGATGCTGTGATAGGTGTGGACATTTTCTAGATGGAGGCAACAGACGTAGCAGTCTTTCATCAAGCTTCAACTTATAATTATAAGACAGATAAACTATTTACAGATAAGCCATATTTTTACTGCACAGTACATTCTTTACTAAACTCCAAAGTTAAATATCAGATGTGTAATATCCTGTGTTTCATCACTGGATTTGAATTTTGCCATGATGTGTTGGCTGTTTTGTCAAATTTCAATATCTTTCTCTTCAGTTTGTATGTTTTTAGTCTTGAAGAATTCAGCTATTGCTATGCAAGACATTTACAACCAGTAACAATGACCAGACCCACCAAATGCCAGTCATATCATACAAGGAACTAATTGCACACACTGTTTACTCCAGAGCTTGACTTGTGTGCTGTAACAGCATCCTGAGACTTCAATGCGATGCATAATACTCTTAAACCAAAGAATGCAAGAACATTTACATCAGAGTGATGAGTTTCATCTGGGACATTAGCTCCTCGCCCGATTTTTAGCCACAAGAAGAGAGATAAAGTATTGTGTCCGTTGTGGTAACCTCGTTTGATCTGTCAGATACAGCTGCAGTCTATTGTGATACAACTGTGTGGGTTAAAATAGTTTGCACTGAGGTAGTGCTCTGCTGCAGACTTAGTGATTCTGATACCAGACCGAGAATGGTTCTGCTTTTCCAATCACATGAACAGGATTCAAGGATACGATGGAAGTGCAATTTTTTCCGTTAACTAAGCCAGTAGGAATGGAGACGTGAGAAGATTGATTAGAGTTACAAAAATTCTCCATAAACCTGATGTTTTCAGAGAGAATTGCAATTTGAATGAACATTTTGTTGATGGCACACAGCCCCGTTTATTTTTGCTGTTTTTCAAATATGACTGCATACTTTCTTCTCATGAAATACTGTGCAGTTGTGTTGTAGCAGAGGTGAAGCAAAGCTTTTTCCCCCCTCTACAACTTCTTTAAACAACCACTTGTTACTTACATAGTCAATATATCACATTTGCCTCTTTTTGCTTTAATGTCTTTAGAGCAAAAACTACACATATTTTGTAACCATTTAAAATATCCATAAGCTCTTATATTGTAAATAGATTGGAAACAATGAAAATGTATTTAAGAATCAATGTATATCATGTACATATAATAAAATATGAATCTTAAACGTTACAGCAAAATGATCTAGGCGAGAAGAGTAATTGGTTGGCGCAGTTGGATAGATTCAGAATAATGTAGTTGAAATGATAAAAGCTGTGTTTGGGCAAAGGGAAAAGGCATAGATAGCTTTGACTGATATTCCAGACTGGATGCATCAAGAGGGTAATTCCAAAAGGAGAGACAAGCACATTAATTTCCAAAATAGTTTGTGTAAATGGTGTGTAAATGGTGTCAAGATTTATATCCCACTAAATATTGTTTGTGTCAATACTTGCATTGATTTGTTTTGTGTATTTACAATGTTGAATGAATAAAAGAATGTATTTTGTATCACTGGTTACATAAGACTGGTTATTACTTGTTGCTTGTTATGCTGAACTTTTATATTGACACGAGAGCCACTGTAATTCGTACATTAAGCATTATATTATCATTTAGTATAATAAAATGAAATCAACAAAAAGGTTCACTGACTAAGAGGACAGTTTGGCTCGTTTCAGACATGCAGAACAACATAATTTAAACTGCAAAGTATCAGCTCATTCGCTTGTTTATTAGTGGACATTAAAGCACATGAAAACTTGGTTTCAGATCCTAAAGGCGCCATGTGAAGTTTTTGTAAACAAAGTTATGTTTATGTTCAGTGTTGTTGTTTTTTAAATTAAAACCATATCCATATATAGTTCCATGTAGCCTCCAGTGCTTAAGCATGATACAAATTAGCAGAGCTCTCAAAAGTGAAAATCTAAATGAGATTATATGCTATTATGTCAACTGACCATATAATCCAAGCTAAATAAACATAATTTAAAGTGTATTTTAGAGACAGACTGCTGCAGTAAATCCTGAAACAGTTCAAGGGTCACCGAAACCACCAACCAACTGTGTCTGCATTTGGGATTTTTTTCATGAGTACAAATAAGACTTCATGAGAGCCATTACAGGCTGATGCCTAACAGATGTGTATCTATAGACAATATGCTTTCATATGCAGTAAAAATATGCAGGACATCTTTGGTTAGGTAGAGACCACTTACTTAAATATGATTAAATAGAGTTTTTGGATTCGTAATGACATCTTTGAAATCCATCACTGTCCTCACCACTTCAGACAATGCGTTGAAAGCTCTTTGCGAGGCCACTTTATAAACAAAACGCACAATTTTTAGAAAATTATTGTTGAACTCAAATGGGTCCTGCTTTGACTGCTCCCAAGAGAGTGACATATTTTCCCCATAATCTTAACAGAAGACGTACAATTTGCAAAAACATCAAATGTAGCAGCATCATTGTGGGGCTGCCATTGTTCTCTTCAGTATTCCTCATTATTGGCCAACGGACTTGTTCTTTCATATTTAAGCTTAACTTTTCATGCCTCTTGCTGCTGATGACAAAAATACTCAATAACATTAAAGCTGTTAAAAACTTAAAAGCTGTTTTCCTATCTTTATTCAAAAGCGCGGTCTTTTAGTTTGAGAACATGACTTATTGATTTCATGTCCAGATTTTTAATGCTTTCCCCTCAACACTCTGGCCCTCGCACTCAAAAAGGCCCCGCTTGCGCTCAGATTTGTTGTGCTTGTGCTCAAACTGGGTGCTTGCACACAGATATATTGTTGCTCACGCTGTTTCTGCGCGCTCGGGAATAAAATGTCTGCTCTGCTCTTGGATTTTTTGTGTGCAATGACCTGGAATTACCTTGTCGAAATCAACCAACCAATAGGATGCTAGCCCCGTTGCGGGCGTGTTCGCTTTACTTCTTGTACAAATGGTTAATCTTTACCTGAGTTCATCCACTCCCTCCCTCCGCTTTATTATAAGTGCTCCTCTTGAAAAAAATATAAACATATTGAGGCTTTTGTTCAGGTTTTTGTAACTGCCCTTTGAATCAGATGTTAAGTTTACATGGCTGTAGAAGCTTCTACAGTACTATAATACATCTACTGCAACATTATGTGTGATTTACAAGCATTGTGCAGTAAACTTTCCAGCCTCACTGTCAGTATACGTTTACATTACAGTGTGGTCAGCATGCCAAAATAAGTGTTGATCTTTGCGATCAGTCAGTAAAAATTCTTTAGCTTAAATATCTGGTGCTACTATGACATGACCAGAGCACATGTTATATTCTTTTGTACAACAGTCCTTTTGTAAAATAGCTGCTGGGTTTGATCTGTTGTCTCTATGTAAGTCCTCTGTAAATTAATAATACATATTCATTTTTTCCTCAGCAGTCATTAGCTTATTTTACAGACTATGTGGAAAAGTCTGAGAGTGACTTATGTAGTGACTCTTATGTAAATGTGTTCACCAGATGTTCAATATTCGTATTTCAAAAAAGGTATGAAAAAGGTACAGACTCCTATAGGTATACCTATTTACACCGTTATCTTCTTCATATGTTTCCCTCTTGTCTTGTGCTTATAATAACAATAGAAGCAGTTCCATCTAAAAGAGTTTATTAAGAACTATTTCACTATGTGCACTCAGCTTTGATGGATATTTTATGACCGTTTTTCAATTTAAGGTGGTGAGAGAGACAATAAATCATTTTCTCACATTCCTTGACAGTAAAAAACAGAAACCTGCAATAATTATTCAGCACCAAACTCTCTGTACTTTACAAGGTTGTGTTTTCAATCCAGCAAGTGTCCAGTCAGTTTTTGTTTTTTTTTTCACATGTGCTTTTGATTGAAAGTAATGAGTCTACCCTACCTTTGTTTGGATAAGGTTTCTATTTGCTGAAATATTGGATTCCTTTTTATCTCCACAGACACTGGAAAGGGTACATTCAGGGTGACTGGAGACTTCAGGTCTCCATGGAAAGAAGAGGTAGATACAGACAGAAAGCGTTGCTCCAGGCCACCCACAGGCTCTGGAGTCTCCACCAAAAACCTGCTAATGAGAGAGTGACTGTCACTGGCTCTGCACTTTCCAGCGTGTGTCAGCAGAAAATACAAATGAAGGAGTTCACACAGACAGGTCTGACTGCCCATGAAGTTGCCAGCTAAATAAATATGCTAAACGATTCAGTGGAAGGCTTTGATTTTGTGCCCGTGTTGGCACGATGTAAATCATAAATGTAATTTGGGCTTGTATGGCTCATATCATTCACTGTGGCAGAGAAGGAAAGTCTCCTCAAGCAAGCAGGCTTCATGACTTTATTACATGGAGTTTTGCATCTGTGTGTGATGTCTTGGGGCAAAGTCTCACTTACTGTGAGCTGATGAAAATGAAGATGGCCATCAGTTTTATGATGATTATGGCACAAAGATGGCTTTTATTTGTCCCATGCTTTTATCAATCTGTAAGTCTTCATTTAGCAAAACAGCAGATTCTCATCTTGAGCAAAGCCGGACTTATAGAAGGTCCTGAGGAAAAATTCTTAAACATATGAAGAAAGCTGAGTTGACCACAGGAAACATGTGGTTGGATGCTTGGCGACATTTTACCCTTCTGTCACAGGGTCTGTTGGTCATTCTCAAAGTTTTCTTCAGCCTGCATGGGACCCAAAGTTTAGGAATGTACTCTTGCCCTGTGATTATAAGGGAATTACAGCAGTAATATTGTTCTACAGGAAGGGGTGAAAGACATTAGTAAAGTAAAATAATTTACACACTGTCATATTGCATCTAAATGCATTCTACTTGTGTTTATGAGGTCTTTCTTTGTTAGCTCACATTTTAATAAAGCACATCTGTTGTATTTTCCAGTGGTGGAAGAAGTACTCAGATTGTTTACTTAAGTAACAGCACCAGTACAACAGTGTCAAAAAACTCCATGTCCTCCATTAAAGGCCCAGTGAGGAACATTTAGGTGGATCAGAAATGGAATATTCATAGCAGGTATGTTTACATTAATGAATAATCACTTGAAAATAACCTAAGATAAACTTAGAATGAGCTGTTTTTGCACACAGATTCTTTTTTACTGTTGGTAATATTGCAAGATAGATAAGTTGTAATACAGACAAGATGTAGTGGTTCTCCGAGTGCCCTCTGAAATGTAGTAATGAGTGCAAAGTACAAAATGTAAAAAGGTAAAGGCTCCTTTAGAATGAAAATATCTTAGTACACCTTAATTTTTGAGTAAAAAACAAACATCCACTTGTGTTACTTTGCTGGAAGCCATTTTGGGTCATGAGCCATTCTTATCATCCAGAGAGAGCATACATTTACTGAAGGCTATATTAGATGTATAGAATCAGCCAAAGCTACATGAGATACAGTAAAACGTCTCAGCCTAGAGGCTTCTTGGTGTGTGCTTATCTTCTCCATCTAAATCTGCAATCTGCTGTGATTGAAGCAATCATTACGACTGGCAAAGTTTGGGTTTTATCATTGCAACAAGGTTCACAGTTATTATTTTCCATGACCTCTCTTTGCAGCAGCATATGGTCCAAGAAAAGAACCATTTCTACATCAGAGGTTATCCAAATAGATGAAATCTGTTTGCCAACTCTCAATCCCTGGACCCCTGCCTGGTCAACCACTGCTTTTTGTCAGTTCTCAGTATCTCTGCTCCCCTGTTATTAAACAGTTGCTAGTACTTAATGGAAATACCACAGTGTGTCTAACAGCAGTCCAAAAACCGTGAGAGACACTGTTCTATAGAAGAATTGTGTCATGTCATGACAGATTAAACATGATTGATCAGCAAATTATGTCTTATCTTCTGAAAAACCATGATGTTTCTTACATCTACAACACTCAATTTATATTTGTACTTTTTAAATCCTCCCAATTCCCACTGCGACTCTCTGTCTCTCTCTGTTAACCAACATCTTAATTCAATACTTTCAGTCAGTGGATCATTAGTCTATCCTCATCCGTGTATCCATTGCAACATGGACACGAGTTCTTTCGATCTATGAGTCACAAGTAGCTGATGGTGCTGGGATGCTTTTCACTGTGGGCTAGGTTATAGAAACTATGTATGTGACCCCTTTTTCCCTTTCTTTTTTTTTCTTTCTTTCTGCACTCAGTCTAACAAATGACTGCTAAACCAAGTACAGTAGTATAATCAGTTGGTATTTTATTAGGTGCTGACCAATTAGGTTTCTTAATTAACATCCAAAAACGTGCATGTTTTAGGAGTCACAATTTATTTTTTGATTTATCTTTAGTGTAAACCACTTTCAAAATGTATGTGTTTAATTTGTAAAAAAACATATATAAAAGTTACCCAGGACCCCCGAAAACCACAGGGACAGTGTGTGGCAGTAAAGTTGTGGTACCTTCATTCATTGTAATTTTGCTTGCTGATATACAACAATAAAACTGAAGCTGCACTCACACTGGGTAAAGTACTTCTTGACAAGAAAATTCCAA